TGAATGAAATTTCCTGTTTTTTTCACCACTTGCTTCAGATCTTTAAACTCCAAAAAGAACTCAGCTTTAAAAGAAATAACACTGACGTGACTGAAATTCCAGATATCAGGAAATAATATTCCATGTGCAGCTTTTACGTGTTGTGAATCTTATGTTCCTTGCCGCATCAAATCAGAGAAAGTGTTTTATTCTATGCCGAGAATCCGAATTATCAAAAACATCATGACACCCAACTTGTGCCGTTTGGAATTCTAAGAGATTTGAATGCACTTTTGAAGGGCTCCGAAACCTCTCCAGGAAAATAAAATTAATAAAATGTTATGACAATAAATAACAAGAAAAAAATAAGAATCAAAATAAGAAAACAGATTAGGGAATTACATTCTGAGCGGAAATTTGTCAAGATGAATCGAATGATCGAGTGGTTGGTTTTTTGAAACTGTATATTTGATAAGTTTCTTCTCATTCTCGACCTTTCGAAAATTTCTGGAATGCACTCCAAGCTTCTTTAAACTTAGCTTCGTATAAACAGAGGCTAGTTAATTGCTTTAGAGTCACTTCATAATGAATTTTCATATCAAGAACATTATGGTTTCTTAGAGGTTCGTTCGCCAGCTTTCTGTGCATTTTTAACTCTGAGTTTCAGAGTTTTTGTTAGCAAATATTCATCAATAGAGTGTTGTGTTTCACTCTCCTCGCGACGTCCTAACCCCAAACTATGGTGATTTATCTACTGCAGAAAAGCATAACATTATTTATTGACTCAAGTGCATTTTTGATTTGAGTATTTGCATTTTGTTATAAAGATTTTATTTGTTTTATTTTGTATTCTATTTATGAAAGATATAAAGTCAGCCATCCTCGTATTCCAGTTGATTTTTCCTTAAGTCATAATTAACTAGCTTAGTACTTTGAAGGGGAAAATATATCCACTCCACTATATCGTCAAGTAGCCAATGTAAAAATAAATATGAAAATGCAGAACTTTCCGCGAAAGAAGTCATTTCTAAATCTGCAGAGCTACATGAGTTATCGTTTGCAAAATGCAACAGAAATACCGCTGTGAAGGAAAGGTACAGGACACAAAACAAATTAAATGATTATAGGATTCACAAAAACAAGTGATGATCGGCCTCTGTATGTGTGCTGCGGAAATGTGTTGATTAAAAGTTCCATGTTATGTTTCTTGCTAAACCGGGCGTCCTCTTGAGGAAAACCAACCCGAGCTGAAATATAAATTGTCTAATTTTTTCAAAAGGGATTGCAAAGGAATTTTATCTTCACAGAAACCTGTGACAACACTTGCTGAAATTAATAGTAAAAGACTACTGGAGTCTTCTTAATAAGTTACTATAGTGTAGCTCGAGCTGATGAAGCTCATACCGTTGCGGAGATTATTATTAAACCTTACAAAATCTTGTACATTCAATAATTTTAAATATTTTCTTGATGAAAAGCTCTTACTTAGCCTCTAACATTCCTTTATCAAATAACACAGTTGCTGACATATTCGATGATATAAGAAAAAATATTTACCAGTAGCATCAGATGTATCAAACTCGCCCTACAAATGAATTAATATACTAACGAAAAAATAGCATACATAAATGCTACCACCAGGCAAATACCTGAAATGTCAAGTATTTGCATGGTGGTAGCGTTTATGCTATTTATTCGTTAGGTTTGTTCATAAATCTGTCAGGAGCATATGAATTGAATTGAATGTGACTGACTGAACTGGAAGAACTCAGTTTATTATATGGATCTTATTGATCCTATCGCCAGTAATGTGAAATCTGTTGTAACTTAAATTATTTGATTTAGTTAAATTTAGATTTTGGAAGAGCTTTATGTATGACCAAGTTTTGATAATATTGTAAGGTGTTCTGAGATTATTCGCTTAGCATTTCACTAGGTTCCTCGACATTACGTTTAACAAGATAAAATTGTGGAACTCTATAATTGTCTGAGTATTATTGTTACAAGAAATCTTTACCAATACTCTGTTTTCATGACTTAATGCTTTCATGACAATTTCTTAACAAATGCGCATCAGATATAAACACATAGTCTGTGAAATTTGGATTTACTTAAATATAAGAAATCCAATCCAATATAGATTTCATAAATATCAAAATTAAACCAGATTTTGGCATTTATTTTAATTCAAAATCATATTATTAAGTGGAGTTACAAATGATTACACTCTACCAAAGTACATTATGTATAGTGTTAGAGATTGATTTATTAATTATAATAAGGTTTCAATAACTTATAAACATTATCAGTTAGATATAATATAAAAGCACATGAAAAGGACCTATCATAAATTGTATCAGTCAGAGATATTCTTGAAAAATGAAATAGATGAATGATTAAGAAATGCTTAAATTACATTTAAACACTCGGCTAATTAAATGTCCTCTTTTAATTTGAAACATTAAATTACAATTATTTTTAATGCCACCACTGAATGGACTTTTAACGGAGGCAGCATGTCTAATAACTGATCAGCCAAACTGCTCAAATGGATAAAGGCTTTTCAGAGTAACTTGACAATGAGAAACCTAGAAAGACTAAGATATAGACGTTTTTGATGCTTAAAATGCTCGTTTTTGATGATCAATCCGTTTTAAGAATGAGATCTTAAGTCCTTCTGGAATATTTTGGAATTTAACAATTTAATCCTTTAAGGCAGGGGTTCTCAACCGGTGGTACGCAAGAGAAAAATACGTGGTGCGCAAAGAAGCAAAGTATTTTTAACTATTAAATTCAAAAATTAAAACCCCAACATCTTGAATGAGATTTTCTCTAACACTCATAAATGTATACGATCTGAAAAGCGTTGTCCAAGAGTGAGGTGGTAGTAGTACTTTGTAGTGGTGGTACTTAAAGGTTTTCAATTTTTGTTTAGATGGTACGCATTAGTCAAAAGGTTGAGAACCGCTGCTTTAAAGTAAAGGTGTCCAACTTATAGCTTTTCTGGTCCACAATGGAAGATATTTTGGGTCGTACAAATTATTTCTAAAACCAGTGGCAGCTTGAAACCACCAAAACAAGTGAATCATTTCCGGATTTGCTCAAGTTTGACCGCTGAACGAAATTTTTGAATTTCACCTCTAGAAGTGAAATGTGCAGGTTTGACTGCGTTAGTTCAAATTTGTTCAGTGTGTATTATGTATATATATATATATATATCGTTTAAGTAAATCATTAATTTAGTTGATTCATATGGCAAGCCATCACTGATTAAGACTAACAATAGTTTATGAGAAAAAAAGTAAAAACATATTTCTATAATTCAAACTTTATTAATTTAAGATTTTTAATATAATGGCAACAATATAGAATTATTTTGACATTGTGCGATATACATAACCTTTTTACACATTTTTTACACATAATATTTCATTATTATTTATAATTTTGAAGTTAACAAGAAATAATAAAATTAATATGATATTTTGCCTTGAATTTGAGAAAGTAATGCATCAAGGTCTGTTTCGATTGAAGTAGATGCAATTCGCTATGTGTTCATCCGACATTCTAATTTTACTCTTAGTGTCATCTAATAATGTAAGCATCACTGCGCAGTAAAGCAATATTAGTTTCTGGATTTATAAAAGTCCAGTAAAAGAGATATGATCAATTTTTTAAAGTATTTCTTGAATGTCAAATTGCAACTCTATGCAATCTGTTTGAACATTTGCTTGCAGTATATCTGTATCGACTGTAAATAGAGTCGTAAAAATACAAAAAATGTTGATTATTTTTCCGAAAATATTGAAATTTACTTTCAAATTCTTGTATCAGATCGAAAAGAAAGGCTGCTTATTTTTCATCTACATATTTATTTAACATGTCTTAGTTGCACAAACAACATGATAAAATGTAGGAAATAATTTTCCACACAGCTCGAAAATGGATTTGAAAAGAACATTACACCACTTTAAACGCACCTTGAAGCACGTGAAAATATAAATCGTTCCTATCTATTGCAACTTGAAGATGGGAAACACAGTGGAAATACTAATTTTCATATCTTCACCTTGCGATATACAAACAATACATTAAAATGAAGGTAATGACTTCGCGCACGAGTCAAAAGAAGATTTTGGAACCGCCACGCCACTCAAAACGCATTTTATTTCGCTTCAAATCGAAACGTCAAATCCGGCCTTTCCCGTGTAAATCCAGTCTCAAACCCTCACCAGAACAGTAAAATGCATCACTGGGGTGGTGTCTTGATATTAATATTCCATTTCAATTAACATTCCAGTTCGTACATAAAATAAAAATAGTTCAGTTTTAATATTTACTTAATGCATTTGATCAAAACTGCAATTTAGCAAAAAAAAAAAATCATCTTCAAGCATTTAATCAATTTTCTCTCTCTATCCCATCCTTTCTTAACCTTTGGTTCTAAAATACTTTTAGTTGAATTGAGTGCTGAGAAAGATAATTTTAATTGCTTGTTTTAAATGACAAAAAAATTAAATTAAAGGTGAAGCATTTGGTATTTCTAATTAATTCATTTGTTTAGTTGCTGAGAGATAGTATTGCTTATTTTGTGTAATAAAACTGTCTTTTTGCGGCAACGGTAACATAGAAGAAAATAATTGAAAATGTGTAGAATTTGCACTGAACCAGCAGCACGAGAAAAACGCAAAATTCAGCAACTTTGTCCAGACTGAAAAACTGGACTAGCAGTTAATATATTTTTATATATTAAAGATCCTGCATTATAATTAAAAATATGATTGTAAATTTATCACATTCAGCATTTTCGCATAAAAATTATGAATTATAAATAAAATTCAATTCGCGAAAATGCGTATTTTTCTTCTATTTCATATTTTGCTTACTGCGAGATAAGAATTTAACTATCCTTCAGGGCTAGAAAATGAAGACTATGTTCCAAAGACTTGAGAAACAGTTGTCATGTTAGAAAAATACTAATTAATGTAATATTTTTAAAAAATCATTTAAATTGTTTTTACTTTCTTTCTGAAAAGGTCTGCAAGAGAGCCGGTTCTTCAACTGCACACAGCATTCTTTTTCCGAACACGTTTCGGTACCACATTTTTCCTCACAAGTCACCCAGGCTATTCCCTAAAATATGAAAACATTTACTTTAAGTTCATCCGTTTGGTTCAGTATTTATTTGCGTCTTTTTCAGCAAGTTATAAATGAGAAATTCAGGAGAAAAAAAATAACAGATTATAGATTTTTAATATGGAATTCATCATAATGCAAAGATTTTATTTGTTTAAAAAAATGTCCACGTTAATGTCAAATTATATGAAGTTACTTTTCTAGAGACATTAGTGGTGGATTGGGTTATTTGACTGCGATAATGTAGCGCAGGTGTATCTGACGGAATATAGCCCTTTCTGAAAGATAATGGCCAGTAGGATGAGGTCCTTACAAGTGATGAAAGCTCATGCGACCAGTCTGTTCTACAACAAGAAATAGAAACCGGAACAAACTACAAGTTTTCCTATTCTCAGCCTATATCTATTTTTTTTTTTTTTTCGTCTCTTTCTCTTTTTAAGTTTTATCATCCAATTAGCTTACAGTTGCACTTTTATCTTAAATAAATAACTTCTTTCTTTGCTTTCAAGTTAACTTTTTGAAAATTTTTCCTTTTGGACCTAAGTTATTACAAAATCATCATAATCGCCATTATTATAAAATACAAGACTTCTTTTTACGGTATATGCCAACTGCTGACGGAGGATTGGGGGGGGGGAGACCATCTTTTTACCATAGGTTAGTCGGTTTTTTTCCTTGCGTATCGAGTAGGAGAGCGCCAGCCAGGAAGGCAAATGTCCGCCATAGTCGAGCAAAGAAGACAGTACATCTATAAGAGTATTTCTATTGCTCATATGGCAGCAGGAAGCTAATGATGTAGGTTACGAGCTTATACTGAATGGTACTAAGATTATATACATAATAATACACAAAAGAATATAATAATATACAATAGGATATAGTAATGTAAATAGGCAATAAAATGCAATAGAATACAGTATGTTAACTACATTACGTATATACAGTTAAAGCATAGATGTATAAGTGAATTAACGAATTCGATACTTGATTATGCTTAAAGTGCTAAATTATGTAGTATGAGACAAATGTAGAAAAGTTCATATTCAGACATGAAACATGACACAAGTCACATCATTTACGTGAGCTGGTCAAATTCCCTCTAACTTTCCGAGTGCATGTATTTATATTTTCTTATTCTCCAGATGTGTAGAATAGATATGAGACAGTTTTACTTAGAAAGATTTTCTCGAAAGCATCCCTCACGCTTAGGCAGATAGCGCTCGTGGGCTTAAACGAACTTAACGAGCACTTAAACGAATTAAACCAAATATTCAGTTATATAAATATAACTTAAATATAAGATTCTATAAATATACTATACTAACGCAATTAAATTATTCTCATCTTGCGAACTGCAACTTATCTGTACTAAAATTTTAAATGTAAAATTTTAAATTTTACCGTACTTGTTTACATTTTAATACCTTTAAGTGCATTAATTATCCCATGTATATACAGTAAACTCTCGCTACAACGATACCCGATACAACAATAACTCCTTCTACTACAATAATGTTTTGTGGTCCCGGTGATTTTGCATATAAACTAATGTTAATCTGCCCTCAATATTGCTATATTCTCTAGAACAATAAACCTCTGTAAAACGATTTTTTCAATCTAAATTTCAGTATTATTTTCTCCCTTTATAATAATATTTTGATTTTCAAATGCTTTTCTTTCGTTTTCTTTTGTTATTTTTTCCGTCTATTAAGACTCATTGTGGATATTCAACTTATCCCTGAATAAATAGCTATTGTTCAGATTTCAAAACAGATGAAGACCACCCTTTTGGGAATTGGAGTGGGTGAGGGGGGTGAAGTGTAAATGTATGCCTAGTCTCATTTCCCAGTAAGCTTTGGAATTCTGATAAGGTTTAAGGACATCTAGACCTGTCTGGTCACCTTGTCACAGAACAAGTGCCCTTTGTTAGAGGAACAGGGGAAGATGGAGGCGGGTGTTGTTAAGTGACGTACTGAAAAGTGAGTTCAAAGGTTGTTTTATAGTCTTTAACGATTTTGAGTTCTACGCGAAACATTTGGTTTAAACTTTTCTTTCTTTCACGCGATATTGTTCCCTAAGATGGCAGGGCGAAAGCAACTATCTTTTCGAGATAAACTGAACGTTATCAATGATATTGATGAGGGAATGAAGCAGACTGATGTGGCTAAGAAACATGGATTATCGCAATCTACAGTTGCAACGTTCCTAAAGAAGAGAAAGCAAATCGAAGATGCTGTAACTTCAAATGAAATTAACCCAGAGCGAAAACGACTGAAAGTTGCGGCAAATGAAAACATTGATGCTGCTGTTTTAAAATGGTTTCAAGAGATGAGAGCAACAAATGTCCCAATAAATGGACCTTTATTATGTGCAAAAGCACGGAAATTTGCAGCAATGCTAGGGAACGAAACTTTCAAAGCTAGCAATGGTTGGTTAATGCCTTTTCGAGATCGTCATGGAATAACTTTCCAAGAAGTTCACGGAGAGAAAAAGTCAGCCCCGATAAACGACACAAATGAATGGCGGCAAAACAAGATGAAAGAAATCTTAGAAAAGTATGCTCCAGAAGACATTTATAATGCAGATGAAGCTGGGCTGTTTTTCCAACTCCTACCCGATCGAATATTGGCATTTAAGGGTCAAAAGTGTTATGGAGGGAAGAAATCAAAGCAGAGACTGACTGTTCTTCTGTGTACAAATAGCACAGGAACGCATAGAATACAACCTCTCGTCATTGGTAAATCATTGAAGCCAAGGTGCTTTAAGAACGTGAAAAGTCTTCCCGTGGAGTATAAAGCAAATAAGAAGGCTTGGATGACGTCTAAATTTTTTTCCGAATGGTTACAGAAGTTAGACAATGAAATGAAGAAGAGAAAGAAAAAAATCGTTTTGTTGATAGATAACTGCGGTGCTCACACGTCATTTCCAAAGCTACAAAATATCGAAATCGCTTTTTTCCCTGCCAATTGCACTTCAATTTTACAGCCTCTTGATATGGGCATAATTAAGTTCTTCAAAGGATATTACAGAAAACGGTTGGTGGACTCCATACTTGACAATAAAGTAGAAGACCCTTTCAAAGCTGTAAATGTCAAGGAAGCGTGTGACAATATTGCTGGAAGTTGGTGGGAAGTAACAGAAAAAACCATTCGGAATTGCTGGAAAAAGGCCGGTCTTTGTGTTATGGAAGATAAGAAATCTGATAATGATGAAAATTCTATAGACAATGATCTCTCAGATGATCAAGAATGTGTTTTGCACATAAAAAAATCCGTATCCCAACTTGAGGAAACAAGCGGTAAAAAGTTTGGAATTAGTATAGAAGACTATTTAACAGCAGATGATGATCTTATGGTTTTCGCAGGAGTTACTGATGAGTGTGTGTGTGTGTGGGTGATTATGGCAAAGCCTCGAGGGCTATCTGCCTAACAGGAGGGATGCCTTCGTGGAGGACTTTCTAAGGAAAACTGACTCGTATACACGTTACACATGGGGAAAACATGAAGATTAACCTAGCCTAATCTAATCTAAACTTAGTATAAAGCGTGTAATAAAGTATTCTTTTTCTAGCTTAAGTATTTATTTCTCTATTTAAATATTCTTTTCAAAACTTTTTCTATTCTTATTTCACTTCGAAGTGTTTTTTTTTTTTTTTTTAATTTCTTCTTTATTAAACTCAACAGCTGCAAAAGAGCTGAAACTAGAAAATTTGTATATGTTTGTATAGTTAAGAAATAAAATTATTTTAATGTTATAAGTGCATTTTAGAGAGGAAACGTTTTACAATAAACGACTTACCGAGATGAATATTAATAAAGTAAGAAAGAAGCTGATCTTGGATACCATTTTGAATTCTAAAGTGAACATTTATGTTTCTTGCTAAGTGTTTATATACCTAAATTATGTTATACAAACACAGATGCTGAGCAGCTGTGTTAGGTATGACATGTTTAATTTCACTTTTAATGGGATTTTTTCAAAGGAAATATATCCTTATATTATCGAAATTTATTTGCATTTGCTTTGCAAGGCATCAATAATGTGCGCATTATATTTTAAAAATAACTATAAATAGCTATAAGTAAAACTACTACTATTTAAAATTACAATATTTAATTATCGGAAACGGAAATCGTTTCATATAGTTTCTATTTGGAAACCTCTTTTATCCAAGGAAGGTGAAAAATTATAAATCGTATATATTTATATTAGGAAATCAAAGCAATATACCTGCAGTACAGCTAAAGAATTTATATAGTTATGTAGTAATTCGGAAAAATCCTTACCTTTACTACAAACTTTTAGTACTAAAATTAGATGCTCATTAGTTTGGGGGGGAGAAAGATCTAATTTAGTTCGATTTGAAAATGGGACTCTAAAAGTCACTTTTGAGAAACCTGCCTTCATGTTGTCGACTACTTCTTATTTTGCCCTTATCATAAAAATATGGCTTTTAATAGTTAACAGAAGTTAAATTTTGAAAGAAATGTATAATTTAATATCAGTAATGAAGTTGTAAGGATCTTAAGTTTTACTAACATTTATTTTATTTCAAATCTTTACTATCACTTCTTATTTTCTACTTCCGGCCAGAATTATAAGCAGAGGATTTTATGCAAAGTTTGTCTGGCGAACGCCAAGTACTTAAGTTGTGGCTTTTTGCCAAGCAAGAGAGAGAGGAAGCAGTGAGTCAACGCAGGCCGCTTACCTTAGAAGTTACGCAGTTGCTGGTTGCCTTCCAGGCCAGAGGTTTTAATCCTCTTGATAAATTAAACGTATTGTAGTGTTCACAGTCTCTGTGCTACATACGCTTCCTGTTATTATAAGGCCAATCTTCCACGTGTATTATTCTAAAGTTAAATTAGAGTTTAGTTTTATTTTTATACTTTTACGTTAGACCCCGAGTGGCGGGTCATTGTATTCCGAAGTACGGAAGTTATTGTATATAGAGAAAAATAAAGGGTTTTGTATACCCTTCGTCTGTATCCTGTCTACTTACTACAAATTAGTGAACATAGCTTTAGTAAGCTCTCTGTTCCTAGTCAGGTCCTTGTATGTTCCCGAAGAAGGTTAGAAGGAACAGTGATCCTGATAAAGTGTTATAATTTTTATTAGGATATTCCTGAAAATTTTTTGTGATCCTATTTAAATATGCGTGTGTCATCTTGAAAGAATGTCTAAGGAACATTTTTTGAAACTACGAAAATTGTAGTTCTTTCATGGTTAGATACATATTTTATTTTATTTATCTTTAATAGTTAAGTTAAAAATTTACGATAAAACAAAACATCTAATTTTGTGATTACAATTCTTTTTCATATTTTCTAGTTCGCCATGTATAATATCTAGACCTAATAAATTTAATTTAAACTGAAATATATTAATATTTTTAGAGCATGGAACGCTTGAAGGCAATTTTCTTTCTGGGTGCTGGACGAACACGCACTAGTTATAAAAGATGCGTAAAACATTAGCTCACTTTATAGGATTTCATGCAAATTAATAGTATTGAATAATATAAATTAAAAATTTCATAAATTTCCCAAATTAATTTTTGTTTATTATTTTGCATTTATGTTTAATGAAAACTGCTATATAAAACCAAACGATCTTATGACTGCCAAATATCTGAAACTAATGTGACTTAAAAAAAAATCTGATGGGTACACCATATGACTTCCTTGTACGGAATATTAAATTATACGCATTTTTTTCTTGCATTTCGTTTAAACTTATTGGATTGAATTAAATCTACTTCGCCGACAGTGCATAAACCATAATAGAATAAATGCATTCTTTAAAATTCCCTCTATTTGTTTACCATAGCGACACTCTGGCGCTAGGTACACTTAACAGTATTATATTTCGTTCATATTATAACTCAGAATGCACAAAATTTATATCATTTAAAGAATTATCTAATCGTTGCCACATGTTCTGTTCAAATACTATAATAAAGCTAGAACGATGTATAAAAGAAATTAAGCAAACAAAACAAAAAAGAAACAGTTTTTCACAGACAATTGAGTATTTCTCATTCAATTAATTCAGTTCTCACTTCGCGACAAGGCAAAAATGCATAAAAACTCAAAATATCTGTATTAAAAGTTACGAAGTAAATCTGAAACACTTATTTCCTCGAAAACATTCCAGAAAGCAATAAGCATGATTTAATTCGCAATAATAAATAAAGGCGTTATCTTTGTTGTTGCGAAGCTACGTTTCTCTAGTTTGGCAACAAATCCATTACTCTGCTGTTTCAAATGTAAACAAACAATGGCCGCCATCAAAAAAATTATTAGGCTTAGAGACACTTAAACAACTTTAAAATTGTTGATAATTCTAAAAATATTGCATACAGATTTACTAAAGGCATAAAAACCTTAACCGGAAGATAAGAACAACATAATTCAATCATTTTTAAATCAAAAATTGTACAATTTACAAACATATAAGAGTGAGTGGATATATATATAACTATATTTATATATGTTTGGCGCCGCCGATTGCAACCAAAATACGAGGTGCACATCTACATGTTATAGTAGTCCCATATACAAAATTTCAACGTTCTGAGGCTACTCGTTTTTGAGTTATGCGTGATACGTACGTACGTACTTACATACGTTCGTACAGACGCCACGAAAAATTCTCTTCAGAATTCATTTTAAAGCAGTTTTATAACTTTTTTGGAGGAAAAGAGTCTTTTATTCTGTCTTTACGTACAGATATCACGCAAAAACATTGTTAAATAGCATTCGAAAGCGGTCAAAATGGATATTTTCGTTGAAATATGCTGCCTAAAACTTTTCGCGATTACAATACTTCCTTTTTACTTCGTACAAGGAAGTAAAAAAGGGTGCTGGCCACTACACTACGAAGGCGTTCTAAGTAGGCGGGAGGAATACTTTATAAAGTAATCAAACAGATATGAATAGAAATGAAACAATCTTGATTCAGGATGAACTCAGTTACGATATTTGTAACAAAGCACTTGATGCTGACTTTTGAATCACGCATGCTGATATAAACGCATTCGATATCAATCCCACTGATTTTACATAACGCTACTGATACTGAACTCAAAGATTTAGGCACTGAAATTAAAGCTTTTACGAATGATGATGTTGACTGATATTTACATTACATTTTAGTGAAGATAGTATTCCTAATCTCTATCATGAAACAAAGGAATGATGTCTTTTTTTAAACCTTTTAGAGCAGATATATTCAAACATATATGAATAGTAATGAAAAAATCTTGTAACGAACTTGATTGGATGCTTGTAGTAGAGCTCTTAATGCTGACTTTACTGAATCATGTACTGACATGGATGCATATGATATCAATGCCATTAATTTACATACTGCATACTGATACTAATATTGATCTCATCGATTCGCCTTCTGAGATTAAGATTTTTGATAATAATCATATTAATTTACATTACAGTGGTAACTGAGATAACTATCCTGATCTCGGGCCATAAATGCATGATGGTATTTTTCAAATGAATTCCATTAGGGATCAGGCACTTGTTAATGCTTTTGAATTAGCATTTAAGTACAAAACCATTAATTCCAAAAAATCAGATTAAAAAAAGGAAGATGAAGAGGGTAAGAAAAAAAGCCTTAATCTATGATTCTGTTGAAAGAAAATACGTAGTATTTTAAAGTATAAGGTATTTCTCCCGCCTTCTTAACATGCCTTCGTGGTGTAACGGTCAACACGCTCGGCACGTATTCGTGAGGTCTGAGGTTCGAGTCCCGGCGAGAGCATTGCACATTTCTCACCTTTCCTGATTTCGAAAAATAATAATATCTCTACAAAAGTAGGTTTTCGTGAAACAGCAGATACTAACTCCTTTCATTTCGTAACCAAAAGTGTTTTAATTTTTTTTTAAATAGAAGTCAGTAAAGGTAGCAAATAATAAGATAAGAAAAGAAAATGTTGCTCTGTACAAAATCTTCTCTGAAACTGAAAGAATACAGCTGAAACATATTCGAGATATTCCAATTCGAAAACACCTTGTTAATGTTTGTCTCTGGAAATATATGTTCAGGTGATGTTTATACTCAACTTCCTCCACCGGAATTCAGCAGATGTTTCAGAATTTCAAAACTAAAGGAAGAGATTACTGATATATTTTGCACTGAAAAAAATTTAATATCAGCTTAACAGTATAAAGCATCAAATTATAATTCCAAATAAATTTTATATTTATATAATTCATTTAATTTAAATTCCTATCAATTTCTTTTAATTATGTATTATTAATATTAACGGAACTTTAAATAAATTTTATTTAATATTCATTTTAATCATTTCTTGTTTCCTGATTGTTTCCTGACTTTAAATAAATTTTATTTAATATTCATTTTAATCATTTCTTGTTGCTGAATAATACCTGATATAATAAATTTGAAAGTTTGAAGCAAACTTTTGGGAGTGCACTTAATAACTGAAACTTTCGTGACATTGGTCTGATGTTGATTTATGCTTATCATGTCAAAAAATAAATAAGCGTAAGCTGCTTTCTTTGCTTAATAGAAGAAAGTTTCAAAATAAATTACCTACATATATCAGGTAGCAATTTTGATATAATAAATTGAATATCTTCTTATATTCAAAAGAAATAACCGTGACAAATATGAAAAATTCATAAAAAGTCGTATCCATAATTTAACTATCTCACTGAAATCAAGGCAGCAAATATATAACTGATTACTGACTATTTTTAAGCAATATGATGAGCGAAAGATCCTTCTAAATATGTTTCAATCCAGTTACTTCCCGCGTGTTATTTCATTTAAACAAAGTACTTGTTTTGAAAATTGGTAAAAGAAAATTGATTTAACTGCGATTCGAACTACGT